TGTCAACCAGTAAATGTTGTACTTTTGGTTCTCTAGAATCCAGGTGTAGCTTGTTTCCACTGAATTATATATATCATTCATCACTCAGAGACAAGAACCTTTATCACATTTAACCTAAGAACAGTTAATTTACTTTTATTAGTCTTGTGAACATTTATAGGCAGAAACCCAAGGAATGTTATTATTAACCATACTCTTGCAGGTCTTGTATATATAATGAACAACTTAACCCTAGATTCCTGTACATGAAGATGTCTATCATATTACATGAAGCGTGGTTCAAAAATGTCTTTAAAAAACTCAAGAAAATTAGTCTTGACAACAAATGATTACTTGAATGTAACTGATCATTAATTTTGATAAGTCAGTTATCAAATTCCTTAGCTGCCAAGTTCTGACACCCACCCTTGAGGAAAACAAATATAAACAAAAATGCACCTTTAATTTTTCAGGAAATTATCAGTCCCACTTTTAAACTCTTGTAAGTGACAGCTGATACCAGTATGTTGTATATAATTAAATAGATTTTGTGATAATCTATGATGTTAAGTCTTTTCTCTTTTCGGTTCCTTTTCATAACTTCATTTGTCAAGGTTATGCAAGTTTGTTTCTGACAAAGCTCTCTGTTGCTGTCCCTAATCTTAAACTGCCACAAGGAATGAAAACAGGCAACAGCACCCACCAGCAACTACTGAACTATTCTTAACAATGAATAGTAAGATTAACCATCACACTGTAACAACCCCATAGCTACAGAAACAAGCACGTTAAGTGCAGAGTTTGTATCTCACATCTCCAACTACTAGGCCGTTAGAAGTTCAGTTGTGTCATTTGTTAAATTCTGTTTAACTTTTAAAGTTCTAACAAGTAATCTTTTTCTTAAAAATCCTAGGGTTAAATTTGTTCATTCTTACTGTTGGATGAAAACTCTGTTACAATAGTAGCCATTTAAACATATATATACAAAATATATGAAAATTAATGTTCAAATATAATCTTTAGGTGCTACCAAAAATTATTCTTATCAATTAAAATAACATTTTTAGTATTTTTTATAACTTAATTATAAGTACTGTTTTTTCCTTCTGAATGTTGATTCATTTTTAACACATTTCACATTCATTAGATAGTGATACTGTTGCTTCATATAACGGAGATAGCGATATTTTTTATACAAGAAACTTTTCATTTGATCAATCAAGATTTTCTTATCTCTTCTACAATAGGCCTGGGTCTATCTGAATTGTGAAATTTGAAGCGTTAAACTGTCTTTTAAGGAATCTTTAAAAACAGCAATTTTGTTAAATACGTAGACATACGCTGATGGCATTTTTTCAACATTGTATTTATTACATTCATTTACTGTATGAGGCTCCTCCCTACACATGTGCATTAGAGGACAGTCATCCTGATTCTCTGACACCTGGAAACAGGAAGGTCCTTTTAACTGTAAAATGGTCACAATGTTATTATTCTTGTTTTCAAGTGCCCTTCATACAACATGCATGTTGGCTATTGGTTATTTATAAGTAATATACACAAAAAAGTGAGACAACTCCAGCCCTTCACTACTGAAATAACCTGTTTTATTCTGATAAAAAAATCTTTATAATTTTACTTTTAAGAGTTAAATGAAAATGTAGCTTCATTACTGTTTGGATACAAATTCTTATTATCACATCCATATATATAGTCAATAGTGACGTTACTTTTTCTGTGTACACCCTTTCTTTTATTTACTGGCAAGGTGACTGTTAGTGTTAGTCTCAGCTAGTTTTCTTTTATCTTCTGTGTTTTGTGTGGCACCTTATCAAAAGCTTTTCAAAAATCGGACTACTCCAAATCCATACACTTCCCATCACCTAGTTGACATGTTATATCTTCAAAAAAGGGTTAACACTAATAATACATTAATAGTAATAACAGGTTACTAAGTTTACATTATAATAAACCGTTTAAAAATACAATATGGTAGAATTAACGATGTTTCGATCCAAAAGAAGTAGGCATTATAACATATTCCTGCTAGGAGGCTGTTTATTATTAATATTAATCTTCATTGATAGTTATACATTCGCTAAGATTTAGTTTATATCATAGATAGGCTTAGTAATAGTACAGCAAAGCATTGGATTACTTAGGCTTAACTAACACGTTAAGCCTATTTGGTAGTTTGATTTACTTTTATTTTGAATCTGTTACTAGCGAGTGTTACAATTTTCTTTGAGAAAACTATACTACCTATCATCTCGTTGATTTTTCATTTCAGCACTTGGTGAACCGTTCGTCTCATGTTCTTCATCCATTTTTATTTATTTTGAATTATGATAAACTAGAAATAGAATGAAAAAGGACGTTTTATTCCTTGGTTAAAGTAAAATACAAGATAACACTAACAGTAAACTAATATCAAAACAGTATTGGGAGTGGATTTTTAACTTACCACGGAGTCCTCTCATGGAATATGACATTTGAACATATTTAAAGGAGGAAAAATAATTTGTGCAAATTCACAAAATACAAGAACAACACATAAGCACAATAATGCACAAAATACAAAACAATTTATAAAAAAATAACAAATCCGAATAGTTTGATTCCATCACTTGAAAATGACAAACTTAGCCTATCGAAATTAGTCAGGTGTTTTATGTTTTATTGCTTCTTTAATCTCTTGAGCATTATTATGCTGAAGCTTATAAATGTGAATCGAAAACTACACAATGGGCTAACCGTGGGGAATCGAACCCCAGATTTTAGCATTTTAAGCCCAGTAACGACAGAGGATGGGTGTACAACGACAGCCTTAAAGGATCAAACGGTTTCTTGCTCTCTGTAGGTTTAAGCGAACCCTACGAACAGAAGTCAATGGATGAGCAGTCAGATAGCTTCCCGAGTATGTGGAGAAGGGTTCTTTTTGTTTGTACTTAAGCACAAAGCTACACAATAGGGTATCTGTGCTCTGCCACCACGGGTATCGAAACCCGGATTCTAGCGTTGTAAGTCCGCAGACATACCACTGTGCCACTGGGGGCATGGAGAAGGGGATTGTATCATTCTCCAGGGTTCGTATAAAAGCTACTGTGAGCATGGTAGTGTGACTTAACGTACATATTCAAACCCACCTTTTATTTTAAAGGAAATCACCAATTCCCCTTTTAAACTCCTCCATTACTGCCGACACTAGCGCGTTCTGTAAGACAATCACCCTGTTAGAAAACTAAAACTGTCCTAACTGGAGTCAAATCCTAACTTGTGTCCTCTCATCCTATTATATTTTGAATATAATGCAAGTAAATTATACATTACAGTGTGTAGCCTGTAGAAATGTTTTCCAGATGTGTGGTGTTAGTTTGACCCCTTTGTCCTTCGCAGAATCTTGTTACAACCGAAACTTTGGTAATGAGCAATAGTGTGTAAACATGGTTATCAGACTGAAGCCGCTTCGCGATAACAGCTCCAGAAGCAGCACAAACCTTAGAATACAGTTCTTATAAAGTGGCATTAACCTTCAGTGCCAATACGAGTATTTTAATCGAGTAACGGTATACATATTCGAACCTTAAGCCTTTAATTACCAGACTACTTGAATTATAATATTTATATCGGGTATTTGAATATTTTCGGTTGTTTAGCATCAGCGCTGCCCTTGGGAAGATATAGAATAACACCTTAATCTGTCGTTTTGATTTCGCTTTAAATAACTAGGCTACAGTTAATAGGTCAGTGTAATGAATCAATAAACGTTTTACTTTTTCCAAGTTAATTCAGATTTCAGGTTCTTGGGTTACACTTCACATAGTTAATCTAGTTCTCCTCATAACAGTTGTTGTTCGTACAACTGATGATATAAATAACACCACTAATATGTCTGTCTTATTCCAGTCTTGATATCGGGCTAAAGACCTCGTCGGCACTAGATATGTAGTGTGTTTGATATATTATTACACATTTTTCTTTGCTTTCACTAATAAGCTTTTAGAAATACGGTAATGTATGAAAACCAGTTTGAACTAGTTTTCAGAAAACACCTAGAGTAGACTGAGATGAACCAAAAACACCAAGAGTGGACTGAGATGAACCAAAAACACCAAGAGTGGACTGTGATTAACCAAAAAACACTTAAAGTAGACTAAGACGAACTAGAAAGCACCTGAAGTGGACTGAGATGAACCAGAAAACACCAAGAGTGGACTGAGATGAACCAGAAAACACCAAGAGTGGACTGAGATGAACCAAAAACACCTAGAGTGGACTGAGATGAACCAGAAAACACCTAGAGTGGACTGAGATGAACCAAAAACACCTAGAGTGGACTGAGATGAACCAGAAAGCAACAAGAGTGGACTGTGATTAACCAAAAAACACTTAAAGTAGACTCAGACGAACTAGAAAGCACCTAGAGTGGACTGTGATTAACCAAAAACACCAAGAGTGGACTGTGATTAACCAAAAACACCTAGAGTGGACTGAGACGAACTAGAACGCACCAAGAGTGGACTGTGATTAACCAAAAAACACTTAAAGTAGACTAAGACGAACCAGAAAGCACCTAGAGTGGACTGAGATGAACCAGAAAACACCAAGAGTGGACTGTGATTAACCAAAAACACCTAGAGTGGACTGAGACGAACTAGAAAGCACCAAGAGTGGACTGAGATGAACCAAAAACACCAAGAGTGGACTGTGATTAACCAAAAAACACTTAAAGTAGACTAAGACGAACTAGAAAGCACCTAGAGTGGACTGAGATGAACCAGAAAACACCAAGAGTGGACTGTGATTAACCAAAAGACACTTAAAGTAGACTAAGACGAACCAGCAAGCACCAAGAGTGGACTGTGATTAACAAAATACAACAACAAAAAACCTAGAGGGGATTAAGATTATCATCTGCTTGGAGTTAGTAATTTTTACTTTTTAAAGGCTTTATCTCAACGTGGGGCGTTCATTTGCCCAGATTGGGAATTGAAAAGTTTGAGCTTGTACTTATACATTCTAGGTTTTTCTCGATACATTAAGATGTAGAGATCTTTACGTTATTATCATTAATTTATGAGGGCTGATAGTAAAGAATCTTACTACATACTCATGTATCTTGATGAGATTAGAAACGGAAGCCAAGGCCGGACCGAAAGAACGAGTCTTTACACAGATGTCCTTGATGGAAAAAGGTTCTGTCAACAACTGTTGTCGTCACGGTCCCTCCAAGGTAAGAGTAAATATTATGACATGAGTCGTTCTAACCTTGCTACCCACCAAAATTAATACACGAAGAGTCCGTAATCCTTTGTGGATAAACCTATTACATCTGGTACTTTTACACGTTGGACGTAAACTGTAATAGGTCTTTTATTGTTGTTCAGTTCATTTAGTATATAATTACAACGCACCCACCTCCCTCCCCACGGTAACCTAGCGGTAAGCTTATAGACTTAAGACCCTAAAAAATTGGGGTTGAATTAACAGCAAAAATTAAATAATAATAATGATGCATAATTATTATAAAATATTACAAGTTAATTACACACCAAACGACGTGTCTGTACGTTTGGTACTCTAAGAAAGACATAACTGCAGAAAAGTAAATGACAAATACGATCTTGTACACCTCAGGCCCTTTCTTCTTCTTCTTTTTTTATGGGGGGGGGATAATTTTGAGTGATATTGGAATTATCATCGATTTCCAATACAAACAAGCCTTCCACGTAGATAAAAACTAGAAATACAAAAAAGAATTGTGCTCAGCCCTTTGGGGCTGTAGGTGCGTTATAACAGTGACTGTCAAATCCCACTATTCGGGCTGACATGTGTAGCTCAAGAATTGGCGGTGGGTGGGACGGCTAGTGAGGATAGTTTTACGTGAAATCCAACAAAACAGACAAGCAAGAGAAAATAGTTCAGAGAATATATATGTACGTACATACGTCTTAGCGATTTCGTAAAGTTTTTCTTTTTTATATCTTGAAAATATCCTGATGATTATAGGCAACACTATACACTATAGTTATATATATATATATAATCATGATATACACGCAAATCTTAGCAGAATTCTACAAACTTGGCACATTTGTATCGGTGTGAATACGTACAGCTAGAATTGTATAGTTGGCCTTTAAGAGTAAGAATACAAAAAGGATAAAGTCAAACGGAAACAATAAAGTTTATAAAATCCTTTAAACGCCCTCTCGTGACGCTTAAATACTCTCTGTAGTGTAAAAAAAATAGTTAAAGCAATGTCCTCAGTGGCTCACCGATAAGTCTTCTGAATTACAATGCTACAAACCGGGTTTCGATACCCGTGGTGGGCAGAGCACAGATAGCTCATTGTGCTCCTGTATGCTTAAGAATAAACAAATAAGGGCCTGGCATGGCCTGGTGGTCAGGGCGCTCGACTCGTAAACTGAGGGTCGCGGGTTCGAATTCCCGTCACACCGAACATGCTCGCCCTTTCAGCCGTGGGGCTTTATAATGTTGGTAAAAGAGTTGTCGATGGTTGGCTAGCTGCCTTTCCTTTAGTCTATCACCCCTAAATTAGGGACGGCTAGCACATATAGCTCTCGAGTACCTTTGCGCGAAATTCAAAATAAACAAACAACTAAATGAGAGCAATAAATAAACAAGGAGCTTATTGAACAGAATATGTTCACAGCCTATGCATGAGAAACTAAGTATTTGTTCATCTTGACCAATAAATGTCCCCTGGTGGGTCAGCGGAAAGTTTATGGATTTGCAACGCAAAAATCCGGGATTCAATTCGCTGAGGTGTACAAAGTATAAATAACCGATTGTGGAGCATTGGAATAAGAAAATAACATTCTCCAACAAATAAAAACTTTAAAACGTTCCACAACAGAGGTTAATGTTAACATTCAGAAGAAGAAAAAACATAAAAACACCTCCTCGGTTTGAATGACATTTTGATACAAATATGTCGGCAACAAAACCAAATACTAAAAGCGTCGCACATAATAGACAATCAAATAAAACTTAGGTACAGACTAAAATGTGGGAAGAATGAAATGTAAGACCCGCACATTGGTTATCTGGTTTATCTTCTGTTTTCAAGGCTCACGTGTTGTAAAAACAACAACAATAACACCAATGATGTTCAAACCTACACCGTCCTACATCTAAAACTACTTTTAACCGTCTAGCAGCCAGACGTAGGAAGTAGAATTATACATCTGTCTACGTGTGACACTTTTTTTTTGGCCTTGTTGCCTGAATGTAATATATTCACACACGTAACTTCTACTGTTATATCCGCATCTGCCCTAGAATAAACGCATTCGAATTGACCAAAGAGGTTCTCCGTTAATACCGACAGCAGTATATTTGTTTTCCTTCTGAAATCCATATTTTAAGTCGTTTTGGTAGGTCTAGCGGAAAATATATGCAATCCTTTACGGACTGGTAAGATATGGTGG